AAAAAGCTCTCAGAACTCAATAAAGAAACAACCAACACAGTTAAAAAGAAAGGAGGCCAAAGATGGTCTTCAGAAAAGAACATAGATGCATAGCAAGTAACCTCATGAAAAAGTGTCCTGCGCTATTTGCCACGAGGAAAACACAAATTAAAATCAGAATGACATTCAATTACACACCAATCGAAATGCCTAAAAGTCAGAAAACTGACTATACTGGGCATCGATCAAGATAAGGATCAATTGGAACACTCAGACATTTTTGGTGCGGATGCAAATGGCATAGATCACCTTGAAAACGGTTTGGTGGGTTTTTTTTAAAAAAAATTTTTCATGTTTACTTATGTATTTTGAGGGAGGGGGAGGTGCGGAGAGAGAGAGGGAGAGAGAGATTCCCAAGCGGGCTCAGCGCAGAGCCAGACATGGGGCTCAATCTCACAAACCATGAAATCATGACCTGAGTCGTGATCAAGAGCCGAATGCTTAACCGACTGAGCCCCCAAGGCGCCCCTTAGCATGTTCTTAGAAAGTCAAACGCGTTTCATATGACCCAGCCATCTCGCTTCCATTATTTACCCAAGAGAAATGAAAATTTGTGTCCCCAGAAAAACATGGGTAGCAGTTTTATTCATAATCACTCTAAACTGGGACTTGCCCACATTTCCATTAGCCAGTGAGCGGATGAACAAATTGAAGTACAAGCGTCCACACATCATATGCAGCATTGAAAAGGAACAAGCTATTGACTCATGGACTGACATAGATGAATCCCAAATGCTGAGTGAGAAAAGCCGGGCGGAAAAGGCTGCCTACTGTGAGATTCCATCCATAAGACAATCTCACAAAGGGAAAACTGGGAGCAGGAAAGTAGATGACAGGCTGTCAGCAGTGGGCCAGTGGCCACAGCGCCAAGAGGGAAGCTTTGGGGCGATGCAGTGGATCTATATCTTCACTGACATCATGGTTACACAAGTGTATACCTTGCCCAAATCCCAGAAAATGTGATTTTTCCTGGAGGTAAAATAAATCTCAATAAACCAGACTTAAGAAACATCCTTCAGGGGCACTGGGGTGGGGGGCGTCGGTTAAGCGTTCGATTCTTGGTTTCAGCTCAGGTCATGATCTCATGGTTTGTGAGTTTGAGCCCCGCATTGGGCTCTGTGCTGACAGTGTGAAGTCTGCTTGGGATTCTCTCTCTCTCTCTCTCTCTCTGCTCCTCCCCCACTTACACACAGTCTCTCTCTCAAGATAAATAAACATTAAAAAAAAAAAAAGAAACATCCTTCAACGAGCTTCTTTTGAGATGTCAAGTCGTTTTGATTCAAGCTACCTTATGAACAGCAGAGTTTATAAGAAAAATGGATTACCATGGAAATCGAAAAACAAGAGCTGCCTGTCACTCGGACCCAGGGACACGGGAGACCAAGGGCATCTATTTGGGGCTTGTGGTGATCGGCACCTCCCCTCACAAACGGAGCCCCGCCCAGCTGTTCCTCACCTGGTCTGGCTGTTCCAGCCTCGAGGGCACTTCCGGCTCTGACTCCCAGGGGCGGGTGTCCTTCTGCCCATTGGTAAGCCAGCCTACAACTGGGAGTCCTTGGGCCAATGTCACACCCCCCATCCCTAAGTCAATTGCTGCTAGGGACAAAGGAAAGTGAGGCTGTTGGGGGGGTACTATGGACCGTTCCATTTTGGGGGAAATCCAGTTGGCTGCATCCAGGACAGAAAGACCTCGTTCCCTCTCATCGCCTTTGGAATAAAGTAGAAACTCCCAAGCATGACACAATAGTCCCTTCTTAGCCTTCCAGGCTGGGCTCTCGTCCCATCTCCTGACCCCCCCCGCGTCCTCCCTCACATCCCCCACATCGTATAACCGAATGTGATTACCTGGTAGAGTCTTCCTTGGCTTTGACAAGGTCTATACCTCTCTCTGCTCTTGGTTCCTATGTTACACATTGGACCTTCCAGGACCTCACGACGGCACACCACCACCAGGAAGCCTTCCTGAACGCCGATAGCCTCCCCATCACTGTGTGCAGGGGGAGGAGCAGCCTGGATCCCTCTTGTTTAGGGGAGTCGAAGAATTGCTGTGTTTGAAAAACTGGTGTGCAAGTTGCATCATGAGGGAGCCCCGGCATGGGGGGAAACTCTATGGAGTGGGGCTGGCCCAGGGGTCTGTGGTGTAGACAGGTGACTGCCTGTGATTGTATTATGGCCCCACGATGAGGGTCCCAGGGCCTATCGTTTATTTACTCCATGCATTGGCTCTATTGATAAATTCATCTGCACCATTTGCAGTGAGGACCTATTTGCAGTGAGGACTTAGTTCCACTGAGTGTCCGGCACTCCCCCTGCTGGGGTGACACTGGCGAACGGCACTGGGTTACCCCAGTCACATGCTTCCAGGCAACGGAGGACACAGACATTAACCAATGGTTACTAAGTAGAATTAGACACTAGCAGATTCTTCACTTCCAGCTGAAGGAGGCTTCTAGCACGGGTTTGTAGAATTGAATTCCTCGGTGTCACAAAATCCTGTTTCTTGTCCTGACACCTAATTGCAACAGTACGTTTCCCCTTGGTAAAGCCCTGGAACACAAAGCCACGCCGCCTGGCCCCTGGTAGGCTGGGTTCTCGAGGGTAGTGTCTACACCGCATGGCGGTAGGCCATCTGGGCTTGTAGCCTTCTGAGCGGAAGCATGCAGCCTGTGAGTGTTCGGAATTTGCAGCAGGAGAAGGCACCGAGGTGCAATCTGTCCACAGAACTGGCTCGGCACGGGGGACAGCTGCAGCTTCAAGGGCCACAAGAGTGACAAGTTCATGAACTCAGATCATCAAGTGGTACTGAATGGGCCCTGCCCAGGGAGAGAGGCATGTGTGGATGTCTATGAGGAGCTGGGAAATGTAGGGAATGAGGGCCTGTCCTAGGAATCCCGGGGGTCGATGTCAGCATGCAAACACTTGGGGACATTTATTTTGATCCCTTCCTAGGGAACAGTAATGTCTGAAATCCCCTCCATTGGGAGGCCGTTAAATGTGATACCTGACCTTCGACAGAATCTTCAGATGGAAAGAAAGAAACACAGGGTGCCTGGGTGGCTCAGTTAGTTAAGCATCCGACTCCGGCTCAGGTCATGATCTCTACGGTCGTGGGTTCGAGCCCCGCCTCGGGCTCTGTGCTGACAGCTCAGAGCCAGGAGCCTGTTTCAGATTCTGTGTCTCCCTTTCTTTCTGCCCCTCCCTCCCCTGCTCATGCGCTGTCTCTCTCAAAAGTAAACATTAAAAAATTAAAAAAAAAAAAAGAGAGAGAGAGAAACACTAAAGGACATTCTCAGATCAACGGCAAAATTGGGATATGGACCTAGATTATATACAAGTATTTTATAGTGTAAATTTATGAATTTGGTAGCTGTGGTATGGTTATGTACGATATCGCCAGTACTTTAGGAAAGACATAATCAAACTGTATAGGAGCGAAAGACTCCAGTGTATGGGCTTACCTACAAGTGATGCAGAAAAAACTATGCATATGGATATAGATGCTTTTCCAACATCTATTAAAGCCCCCTGCCTATCAGGCTTTCTGCTTGGTACAGGCATTCGTTGCTTAAAGAGGCCTTTGGCAAAGCTGTTAAGATTCAAAGCTTCTATACTCCTGGGTAGATGGTCCCAATTAAGTTTTCTCCTTAATTTTCTCTCCACCCTTTGTCTACAACAGGGATCTCTGTGTTTCCTTCTCCCAGGAACCTAAGCTCCTTCCTACCATTTTCTCTAGATGTTCATCTCATGGTTTTCTGAGCTTGGAGCAAAGAGTGGAGGCTTTTAGGAGAGCTATTTTAGTTACAGGAAAGGATGATCTTTCATTGATACATTCCGTCCAAAGGTGGGAAAAGCAGAAGCTATAAAAAGTGCCATAAAGGGGTTCGGCATCTTCTTTACTCTGCACTTACCAGCTACTTGACGTTCAGCAAGTTATTCCACCCCGGGAAGATTCGGTGTTGCAGTCTGTAGAGCTGGCATCGGCCAGAGGCTCAGAGTGTGCTTTAATTAAGAGGATTAGTGAATGTTTGGTATAAAATGTGTGCTCAGTAAAGGTAAGTTTTATGGTGGCTGTTTCTGCATAAAGACCCAGAAGAAGATGTAATTATTGTTAATGTCCTATTTGTATTGTAATTTTGATAGGTGGGAGACATTCACAGCCATATCGATGGCAATGGCTTCCATTAATTCAGGGGTTCCTTCGTGCTAGTCACTTCGTTATACCTTTGGCTTCATTAGACCCCTGGGACATCACTCTCAGGCAGGCTCATTACCCCATTTCAAAGACCGGGACACTGAGGCTTGGTGGCATAAAGAAAGCCTGTAGGGCCTTCCCATTCCACCCGCAGATGGGGAAACTGAGGCTCAGAGAGGCGAGGCCTCAGACCTCGCTGGCTGTGGGCAGACACTGCAAACCCACGTTCTCCTTTCCCGGACAAGGACCGCCAGCCCACGACAGAGTCCGGGCCGCCGCAGACGGTGCGTCTGATCCGTCTGGTCCCCCTGCGGCGCCCGGGATCAAGGATTTGGATTGCGTTTCGGGACAGATCCGACGTGCCCTTCGCTGGCGCGCGAGCTTGGGCTGCTCGGACCCCGCGTCCAGGGAGAGGGTCGCTGGGGCGCGAGCAGGGGGGACAGGACGCGGGATCCCCGCGCCCCCGCGCAGCTGTCGCTTCCCGCGCCCGCCCGGCCAGGGGCCTCCCCGGGTGCGGCCCCCGCGCGCCCCACGCCCCCCGCGCGCCACGCCCTGCGCCCAGGCCCGGCTCCGCCCGCGCTGGCGGCCGCCGAGCGGTCCCGGCGGCGGCGGCGGCGGCGGCGGCGGCGGCGGGAGGAGGAGGAGGAGGAGGAGCAGGAAAAGCGGCCGGGGGAGGAGGCGGAGGCGGCGGAGGCGGGCGGAGGCGGCGGGCGGGGCCGGGCGGGTTTAAAGCCCCGCGAGGGGGTGGGGAGGCCGGGCGGAGGCAGGAAGGGACGCGAGCGGCGCGCCGGCGGCGGGCTCGGCTCGGAGGCCGCGGAGACCCGCGCGGAGCCCAAAGTTTGCGCGCAGCCCCCCGGGCGGCGGCGCGCGGGGGGCCGGGACCGCCCTGCGCGGCGCCCTCGCCCCGCGGGGCCCCGCGCCCGCCCCGGCCGCGCCGAGGGTCGCCGGCGGCCACGCGGAGGCGGCCGGGAGCGGCGCCGCGGCAGGTACGGAGCTGGGCGGGGAGCGCGGCGGCAAGTTACTTTGTGGTCGGCGCGGCCGGGCCGGCATTGTCTGCGCGCGGGCCGGGGACGCGGGGCGCGGCGGGGGCGCGGCGGGCGGAAGGGCGTCGCCGCGGGGCCGGGGGGCGACGGCCGGGGGTGGGGGGTGGGCGCGCGGGGCTCCGCGCGCGGCGATCCCGGCCCGGCAGCCCGGGGGGCCGGGCGGCGCCTGCCCGAGGAGCCCTCCTGCCCGACGCCGGCCGCCCGCGGGCCCGGGGCCGGGCCCTGAGCGCCGAGGCGGCGCTCCCGGAGCCGCCCCGAGGGTGGGCGCCGGGCGCCCCCCGCAGCCCTCCCCCTGCCCGGTGCGCCCGCCGGGGGCGGCGGGGCCCTGCCCTCTCCAGCCGGAGCGCGGCGCGGCCGCGGGAGCCTGGGTTGTTTTGTTTTGCTTTGCTTTGCTTCGCTTCTGGTTCTGCGAGTGGCCCCGCTACCCGCCGCCGGGGCCTAACAGCGAGCTGTGGGCTCGCGGGCCAGCCGTGCGCCAGCCGTGGACATGCGATAAGAGCCGCACGGTTCGCGGAGGGAAATTTCTGATGCAACTCTCCGCCTTTGCCGGCCGCCTCTCCAAACGCCTGCTGGGCGGCCGCCCTCCAGCCTGTGCGTTACGGAAATGAGGGTCTCCTCGACTTTTGACGGCGCTGGTCCTTCCCGGGCGTTGGAGGAAACGCCAGCTTGGTGTCCTCCGGCCTGACCCGAACGGCGGCGGGCAGGGGAGGGGGGGGCCCCCGGGGGACGCGCGCCCGCTCCCGGGTCCCCGCGAGGCGTCGGGAGGATCGCGTTCTTGCAAACGTGGTGTGCGCTTTTCATTGGAGAGATGCAAAGAGAAAGGCCCCCCGAAACAAGCAGCGCTCGTGAGTAAATAGGGGTTATTGCACAACTTTTCTCTTTGCTGCTGTTTACAAGGCCAGGCCTGGAACACTTTGTTTCCGAAAATGCTGATTCAGCCGTCTGGAGCCCCCGAGTTTCAGAAACGGTGCTCCCTAGAACGTTTCGCTCAGTTTTACCAAGAACACATGTTGGTTCCGCAGCAACAGGCGTTGACTGGAGTTTACGGCACAAAGCTGCAGCGGGCTTGACCTGGTGGCTTCCCCTCTTTCTTTCCAAGAGGCAAAATAGGTAAAATCGAGGTTTTTGTAGAGGAAGACGTTCTCCCCTACAGAGGGGAGGGCGAAGCGTCCTTTAGGGGAGGAATTTATTAAGGAAAGCAAATACGTGTTTCCAGGAATGATTCTAGAGGACCGTTTTTTGTTTGTTTGGTTTTTTTTTTTTTTTTCTGTTAAAAATCTGAACTCTAGGATTACTGCACATAATACTTGAATTTTATTGGGGACAGTTAAAAGAGAAGGGCCAGGCAGGCCAATTCCCAGATTACGGGGAGGGAATTTGAGGACAGACAGAGTTACACACCCAGCAAGTGGCTTCTGTAAACTGAGACGTGTGGCCGCTGATACTGCCCGAGCTGTTCACCGTGTAAGAGACGCTTTAGGAGCCTTAGTGCTCTAATCCTCTCCAGCCCCTTGATCCCCGTTTTGCAGGTGTGGAAACTGAGGCTCAGGAGGTTAACCGGTGTGCCTGCGGTCACATGAGCGGCCAGTGACAGCGCTGTCACCAGAGCCTAAGCTTTGGATTTTTTTTTTTTTTTTTAAAGTCCTGTGTGTTTTATGCTTCTGCACAAGTCCATTCATTGACCCTGGAAGAGAGATGACCGGGAAGAGGTTCGCAGCAGCCTCACACCTGTGCCAGCCTCACCTGGAGAAGAGAGAGGCTCTGTGACTAGTCTGGTCACTTCCAGCCTTCCAGATTTCTGCCCCAGGCCATTGTCAAGTTTGTCCACTTATTTTTATACTTCAAATACACCCTTATGTGGGGAGGAAATTTGGGTGTCGTGAGTTTGACGTGGCTGTTGTGTTTCCTGTAATTAAAATAGCCTTCTAATAAATGCTGTGTATCCCTGAAGTCATTTATTGCTTTGCCACTTTGGGGGCGGTGCTGGGCTGCGGAGAATGCCTTTGCTTTGTGAACCAGGAACCCAGAACTGGGCCAGTCCTCATCTGTCTAGGGGTTTAGCAGTGGTGACCGTTGGGATCAGAACCCAGGGCCGGCCTGGGAGGCCGGTCAGAGAGCTCAAGTCCAAATGTAGGAGCTAGCACAGAACTTTGAGTTTGACGGGGTGGCTGGTCTGAGACTTTACAACGTACGGAAGCTACAGTCCTGCCTGAACATTCGCCAGCTCCATCTCAGAGCTGTAGGAATTCTGGGTTGGCGGATAAAACCTAAGGTGGCATCAGTTGAGGGACCGATTTGCTTGGAGTTCTGTGCCTCTCTCAATCTACAGGATGGTCGCGGGATGTTCCTCAGGCCGGTGTCTGGGGCTTGCTGGCTTCCTTTCGGCCCTCGGAGCCGAGGGGGCATCTGCTGGGTTCAGGGGGGGCAGAAAGCCGGTGTACTTGCAGCTTGAGGCATCACCCCGGTGTCTGTGTCTCCGTGTGTTAAGCAAGGGCTCGTGGGAGAAAATATTTGCCTGCGTTTCACTTAAGTCACCATCATGTTCAGAATTGCAATAAGAACTCTGCTACCTAGCGAAGGTTTTCTTCCTGTCTTATGTTTTGCTTACTGGTGGAACCATGGAAAATCCTGGAAAAACATGAGACAGTCCAACCACTAGGTGGGCGAGGCTGGCAGACGGGTGCTTTGGGGATCTGGCAACCTTCTAGAAGGTCTGCACGCTTATGGGTGTGTAACAGATCTCATCCGTTCAGGCATCCGCTGGCATGAGTGGTGGTAGTGTGTTAGCTGTGCGCTTTTGGGGAGCTATCTCTCCCCCCCCATCCTCTCCCTCGGGCAGGAGCACCTTTGCCCCCACGGTTCTCTCCGGCTTTGAGGAGCTTCTGAACTCCCCTCCACGGAACAGACTTTTGTCCCTGCTCCTGCGGATCACAGAGCTTGCTTGTTACCTGGAAGCCGGGGAAGTGGAAAATAAAACCTTCCCAGAAAGGCTCTTCTTTAATGATAGGAAGGAAAATGGCAAAGCCATGTCCCAGCCTCGTGAAAGGTCCTTGGAAAGGCAGAGGTGAGTGGTCCTGACTCTCTGCTTTTGGGGTTCACCAGCTCTGAGGGCATCTCCCCTTTTTGCCTGTGCCTTGGCGGACATGGCCTTGAAACGGAGGGAAGCTTCCTCGCTGGCCCTCCATGCGGTTTTGCCCATTCGCGGAGGTGGACACAGGACGCCAGTTGGGGACGCAGGGCCCGAAGTTGGCGCATCGCGGCTGGATATCACCGGGGAAACTGTAGTATCGTTCCTGTTTTTCAGCCATCGAATTTATATGTGGATTTGATGGGCGGGGCAGATTCCCCTTGATGGCTGAGATCTTTGATTTGAGGGTTGATTGGGGCTGGACCAGCCAGAGTGGATGATGTGCTTTGGCATCCCCTGTGGGGAAGGGTGCCGGGAGGTGTGCTGCCCCCTTCTTGCTCTGTGCAGAGTAGCGGCCCGTACTGACGTTTGCGCTGCCTCGGTTTGACCACTGGATCTGCTGCTTCCTAGTGCGGCGAGCCCGAGCCGGTTACCACTAAGATCATCGGTGAAATGAGAGTCAGACTCAAAGGTGTGTTTACCTGCAAGGGCTGTGGGGAAGGGAGGAGGCTGGTGGTGTCGTGTGACCCTCTGCGTAGCGCATGACACTTAGAGCCCAGACGCCCTGCTGCTTCTGTGCATGCTCAGCCGTGGCTTTGAGTCGCTTGTGTGCTAGATTATCCTGCTCTCTATCAATCAGCAGCGTCCGCTACAAAGAGGACCATGCTGCTCAGAGAGGCGCCTGCCAGCGCTTCGCGTGTTTTTGCTGCTCCAGGCCTTGGGGTGGACCGTGACCCGCGTCAAGCAGAGAATCCTGTTCTTGCCTACCTGTAGCACGGCAGTCGGAGCGCCTCACCCGTGGGGTTCGAAGAGGGAAGGGGGTGGCGCTGTGGAGTTGGTACCTGGTGGCAGGGCCTTCAAACCAGAGTACAGGGAACCGCGGGCATCAGCTCACGGGTTCCCGGAGCGAAGACCGCGGAGACCACGATGGGCTGCGGCGTCGTGTGTGGGGATACCCCTGGTCTTGGCACGTGGAGCCTGGAGCCGTCGGTTTTCGGAGCCTTGAGGGTGGTGGGTGTCTGGAGCCCGCAGGGACAGCCCCACCGAGATAGGAGCGCACATGGACTGCAGGTCCCGATGGGTTGACCGTACGCCTGGGAAGGGGGTGTGCACACTGTCCGAGGGCCGTGCTGGTGGGCAGCTGGCTTCTCCCTGAGTCCTGCCTGGGCTTTCTTTCTTTTCTTTTCTTTTCTTTTTTTTTTTTTTTTTTTTTTTTTGAGAGAGAGAGTGCACGAGCTTGCAGGAAAGGGGTGGAGAGAGGGAGACACAGAATCAGAAGCAGGCTCCAGGCTCTGAGCTGTCAGCACAGACCCGGACGCCGGGCTCAAACTGACGAACTGTGAGATCATGACCTGAGCTGAAGTCGGAGGCTTAACCGGCTGAGCCACCCAGGCGCTCCTGCTGGCTGGGTTTTTGAGCCAGGCCATTGGGCCTGGGCACCGGCAGCTGCGGCCTTGCCTGGTATCGTGAGCTCTGAAAGCACTTGGTATGCAAAGAGCTCGCCGCGGGCCAGCCCTTAGCGCTGCATTGTCAGTGCCCCTTGGGAGCGATGCCGGCAGTTAGGACCCTCATGTGCCCTCATCACTGTGAGCAGAACTACAGGGCGACCGTGTTCTGCGTGGCCCTGTCTGTGAGCCAGCAGGCATGCCGGAACCGTGAGGGGTGCCTGAACACCCCCGTGTACCTCTTCTCTGCTCCTGTGGGCGGGAGCCGGCACGGAGGCCCCCCCGGGCCACCCACCAGTGCCCCGGACCCCCTGGTGCAGAGGGGGCGTCTTGTGATGCAGAGATCCCGCGGGCGCTCGCCTGTCCTGAGC